GGGGGGGGGGGGGGGGGGGGGGGGGGGGTCATCTCCCCCGCCTTGCAGATGGGAGGGGAGCCGCTCCAGCGTGAGGGGTGCCCGGGCAGGCAGCGCAGGCTGCCCTCGCCCAGCAGCACCCGTCCGGCAGCGCAGGAGAAGCGTAAGGTGGCTCCCGCCGGGTACAGCCGCCGCTCGGGGCTCTGTTGCCCGCCCGCCGGCACGCCGGGGTTGTGGCAAGGCTCATACGTCTCCGCTGCGGGGCAAGGGCACGGTGGCATCAACGCCTGCCGTCGGTTTGGGGGACGTGCCCAGGGAGGGGGTACCCGACTCACGGATACACTTGGGGAGACGGTCGCTCCACTTGGGTCCCCCCGCGGCGCGGTCGTGGCAGGTGAGGGTCCCGGCACCCGCCAGGATGTAGCCCTTGTCGCAGACGTACTGCACAGTAGCTCCCACTGGGAATTTAGGGCTGGAGACCACCCTGCGGCTGTGCTCGGCATCCCCGGGGTCCCGGCAGGAGGTCACTGCGGGCAGGATGGACCGGTGGTAACGGCGGCTGCTGGGGACGCGCCGCAGGGCGAGGGGGACACTGGTGGGTGCCGCTCACCCCGCTCACAGGAGGGCAGGTCGCCACTCCATGTCAGGTCCCAGTGGCACATCAAGAGGTCGGTGCCGGCCAGCTGGAAGCCGGGGTAGCAATGGTAGGTGACCACGGTGCCATGGAGCAGTTCTGGCTGCGAGGACGTCTTCCAGCCGTTGGCAATGTCCGGCAGCTCAGGGCAGGTGTCGTTACGGGGGACCTCTGCGGGGTCCATGGGGTGAGCAGGGCAGCGGGGACACCGGGGACACCGGGGATGCCATCCCACCGTGGGGCTCACCGGAGAAGTGGATGACAAAGCCTTGCCGATAGGCAAAGGCGCCGGCACCAGGGTCGGACTGGAACTGGACAGTGACATCAGCGGTGGAGGCGTAGAGCTTGAAGCGGCCACGGGCGCCTGTGTACTGGCCCAGGATGCGCGCCGTCAGGTCGTCCCCATCGTAGAAGGTCAGCATGTCCCCCGTGCCCAGCCGCAACCTGGGGCGGTGGAGCCGTGAGGGCGGGGGTTGCACGAAACCCCCCTGTCCCACCGCCCCCATCCCGCGGGCGTCCCTGCACTCACACGCGGACGTCCAGCATGACGCGCTTGTCCTCCTCCACGTGCAGCCCCCAGATGCAGTCCTGGCCCTTGCCGTACGCCTCCGGCCAGTTGGGCGACAGCACCACACCGGCCGTGTCCGTCAGCTCCCCACTGCACACCGCTGTGGGTGCACGCTGGGCTTGGCACTGCCACGGGGGCACCCACCACGGCACCCACTGGCACCCGCCACCCCGTGTCCAGTGCCCACCACAGCCCCCTGGTTCCAGCACCCACCATGGCACAGCGGCTCTAGCATCCGTTGTAGCCCATCCCCGACTCCAGCACCCACAGCAACTCCCAGCTCCAGCTCCCACCATGTCCCTCGGCTCCAGCACGCGCTGCAGCACGGTGGTTCCAGCATCCATTATGGCCCATCCCCATCTCCAGCATGCACAGCATCCCCCAACTCCGGCACCCGCTGACCCCCAGTTCCCTCAACCCCCCGGCCCCAGCGCCCACCGCGACACGCCGGCTCCGTCTCGTTCCACTGCGGGTCGCTGGGGTCAACGCACTCAATGATGGTGGAGCCCTGCTCCAGCGTGTAGCCGGGGTCACAGCTGAACTCCACCGTGGTGCCCACGGGGTACCGGGAGTCACTGGCCGTGAAGTTCCCGTACTTGACGAAGGGCTCGTAGCAATGCCCCTGCTCGAAGGCTGCGGGCACAGGGGTGAAGGTCTGCGGGGGCCAGGCGGGCATGGGGATGCCCGGGTGCCCCCCTTACGCCCCGGCCCCGTACCCTCGTAGCGCAGCGCCATGCCTGCAGCGGCCCCGCTGCTGTCGGTGGTGAGCTCCACAAAGAAGTGATGCCCGGTGCTGAGGAGCCCCTCGATGGGCAGGTACTCCACCTCGTAAGAGTCGTACACCGGTGGTGCCTCCACGTTGTTGCCGTTGCGGATGATGAGCCTGCCAAGGCACGGCAGGGGCAGCGTGCTGCGCTGGCCGTGGCCAACAGTACCCATCCTTGGGCATGGATGGCAGCACCCAGCCCCAGCCATGGCCAACAGCACCCATCGTTGAACATGATGAATGGCACCCATCCTTGGGCATGGCCAATGGTATCTTCTTGAACATGGCCAACAGCACCTATCCTTGACAGTGGCCAATGGCCAACAGTGCCCACGCTTGGGCATGGCCAATGACACCCACCCTTGAACATGGCCAACAGCACCCATCGTTGAACATGATGAATGGCACCCATCCTTGGGCATGGCCAATGGTATCTTCTTGAACATGGCCAACAGCACCTATCCTTGACAGTGGCCAATGGCCAACAGTGCCCACGCTTGGGCATGGCCAATGACACCCACCCTTGAACATGGCCAACAGCACCTATCCTTGAATATGGCCAGTTGACACCCATCCTCCAGTATGACCAGTGGCAGCCATCCTTGACTGTGGCCAACAGCACCCATCTATGGGCAGGGCCAACAGCATTCATCCTTGAATATGGCCAACGGCACCCATCCTTGACTGTGGCTAACGGCACCCATCCCCATCCTTGAACCTGTGCCTGGCACTGGGCTGTCCCAGGGTGCAACCTCCCATTCCCTCCCTGCCCCAGTGCCAAACCTGTCGTCATCCTCTGCCAGCGAGACCTTCTCAAAGTGGAGGTGCAGGCGGTGGCCGGCGGGTGCCTCCAGCAGCCAGTGGCACGTCAAGTTGTTGCTGTAGTTCCCAGGGAAGCCGGGCGAGACGATGCGTCCCACCGTGGCATTCCGGACCACCCCGCCGCACACCGCTGCAGAAGAAGGACCGTCAGCGGCCGCTGTGCCGTGCTGGCCGTGCTGCGTCCCCCCGGTGCCGGTGCTTACCGAGGCAGAGGGGCTCACGGGCGCTCCAGAAGGGACGGGTGGCATTGCGGCAAGTGAGCCGGCGGGCGCCCTGCAGCTGGTAGCCGGCGGCACAGCGGAAACGGGCATCCCCGCCGGGGTGCAGGCTGCTGACCGAGACCTCCCCGAAAGCCGGCCGTGCTGGGAAGGGGCAGCTCAGCAGGTAGGCTGGGGGCAGGTAGCGGCGTTACGGGGTGGGATGATAAATCCCCCCGGGACCCCAGCACCCTCCTTCTCAGCCCCCCGGGAGCACCTGGGTGCTGCAGGGCTGGGTGACATGCCACCTATGGCTGACAGTAATGATGCTAAATGAGCCTGTAATTGCTCACGCCAATTAGCTCTCTCTTAGTGTTCTTCCCCTGGTCCGTGCCCGCTTAACCCGCCAGCGGCACAGATTAACTCCGGTGCACATCGCCACACTCTGAATTAGTGCCATGCCGGGGGCAGAGCCCCACTGGGAGATACTGGGGGGTTGGTGCCGGTGGTGGGTGCTGCCCTGTACCTTGGTAGCGGAAGCAGTAGGAGCCGGGACTGGGGGGCCGGGGGCTCTGGAAGCGGAGGGTGAGGAGGTTGGCCGGGCTGCGGATGACCTGGCCCCGCAGCAGGAAGGACTCGTTGGCCAGGAGGGTGGGCTCCAGGCCCCCCACGCTCTCCACCGTCAGCGTCTCCCCCTCCGCCAGGCTGATGTTCTGTACCTGCGGGGGATGGCCAAGCATCACCACCACGGCATCGCCCCGGCACCCGGCTTGGAGCCGGTCCTCGGACAGCTTCCCTGTGGTCAATAGCGCGCTGGAGCTTGTCTGCGTGGGGCAGCGCCTTTCAAACACGGTTAGCAGTGCCATAAACCATCCTGCGGTGCAAAGAGCCGGAGCACCGCGACACAGCCGGGCCCACACCAACAGCCCCGCCGACAGCCAGGCGTGCGCTCCAGCTCTCCGGACCAATTTGCTATTAACGATGTTAATTAAGCAGTGCTGCACGGTGATGAGCAGCAGCACCGGCGAGTGCTGCTGTGCGAGCTGGAGGAGCAGGGGCTGACCAGGGAGCTTGTTGCCTTCTGGCTCACCCCCGGCTTTCAGCGAGCCACGGCGCTGCCCCGTGGCAGCTCATGCGGTGGGCCGGGCAGAGGTGGGCACACGCAGCCATGTGCCACCGACGGGAGCAGCACGAGGCCTCAGCACCGTGGGAGCTGCCGTCAGCCTCTGCTCCTGGCAGATGGGCACCGAGTTTTCCTGGCTCTGCACCACAGCGTCGCACCCGCCGGTGTTGCTTACGCCTTCTCCATCAGTGCTTCGGTAATTAAATCCCACATCGCTGCTTCTGTGATGGGTGCCAGCCGCGGCAGCCGGTGGGAACAGGATGTCCTGGGGCATCCCACCGGCCCGTGTGTCCGCATCCCTGTCCTGGGGCCCGAGGGCGGGTGATGCCCTGAGCCAGCTCTCCTGGCTTGGGAACGTGGGGACAGGGACAAGGACAAGACCGTGCGTTTGCTGCACCCCACACAGCCACCCAGCTGCGGCATGGAAGGACCACGCTTGCCTGTGGGCACTTGGCACCCCATCCCACCCGCGGCCCCCAGCTCACCTTGAGCTCCACGCCGTAGCCAGGGTAGACGGAGATGGTGTAGGTGCAGTCCAGGCTGCCATCGTAGGGGACAACGGCCGGCTCCGGGGACACCAGCCAGCCCTCAGGACCCGCCAGGGTTCGGTTGCAGGGGGCTGGTGACAGAGGAGACCCTGGTTCAGCCCCGCTTTGCCCCAGCTCCCCCCCCCTCCAGCTCCCTCCCCAGCGCCCACCTGGTCCCTGCAGCGTGGTGACGGTGGTGGTGGTGATGGTGGAGGTGGTGGTGGTCCCCTCCTCGTCTCTGGGGACCACGCCGGCCCCGGCGCGGGGTCCTAGGGATGTGCCGGGTGTGGTGGGTGCCCAGCTGGGGGATGCGGGGCTCGACTCCGGCACCCCGGTGGAGGACCATGAGGGGTCGGCACCCGGCACGGCCCCCCACGCATCCCCCCACGGCCCCGGGCGCCCTGCCGGCGTGGTCAGCGGGTCGGTGGGGAAGGCAGCCCTGGGCAGGGCTGGGGTGCGCGGGGGGGGTTCAGGGGCCGGGGGGCCAGGGGCCGG